ACTCACGATACTGGATTTACACACACACACACACACACACACACAGTTTTTATACTTCCAACCGATTGTGTACATCATCACCTGTATGCCGGAAAATGGTAGGGTTACGCAAAGAAGTGATTCAACATTGCCTCCGCTTGATTATTGCTTTTGAGATGCATTCGACATGCGCAAGGCCCCCGAATTCCAACATTAATACTCTGAGATTGAAGCTGAAAACAACTGGATCGTAAATATCGCCCACTGATCTCTTCTCAAATGGGCAAGCCGAAGGATAGCGCGTGTGGCAGTAAAATGATAACCCTTCAGTTGAAAGGCTTTCAAAGAAGAGTCCGTTGGACAACAGCCCACTTACCAACGTGGGCAGTCTGTGGCATGATTATTGACGAACTAGCCAGCAAAAGCGTGAAACCTCTTCTTAAAAGCACGTTTTATCTTCATTCAGAACGATTTATGCTGAATCACCTGGCATCAAAAATAGTCATACAAAGGGATTTCTATCTGTTTGGTTCTAGCGCGGCAAAGGCTGGTGGAACGGACACTACATTATGTGTTGACTTGATGGAATAAAAAAGGCGTTTCTCCGTTGATTCAGTGTGGATCTGTGCAAAAATTTACCTGGCTTTTCATCGCATGGTGTGAGCAATTTAGATCGATTTGATATATCTTTCATTTTCTTCCATAACAGACGTTATGGATTCAGATGTCTTCCACAGTTCAGCTGGTGCAAATTATCATCCACTGGTGTCATTTACTCGCTCTACTCCTTTTGTGTGTGTATGTGTACTTCCAGACACAATCCAACATTTATGAAACGGTCACCGACGTCCGAATGGAGCAAAACTGCCTCAGTCATCGGATGGAATTGATGGAGACAACGCTCATCAAACTGCAAGTACGTAGCATTAGTTTCTCTGTTGGCTGGGTACTGGTGGTTGGTCAAGTAGCCATTGGTCTTTTCGCTGGGCTTGGAAATTAGCAAACTTTGTTTCTGGTCAGTTGAGTGGGCACTTCATCCTTGCCTGCTTGTGTATGAATAATATTCAAAGAGCCCCTGATAATTTTTTATGTGATTAGCTGGTTTGCTGGCCCTATTTTCTTGCAAGCTTATTGGCCCGTTCACCACTGCGCGGTGACGAACCATGGCTGAAGAAGCACTTGCTTGGTAAACATCGGGCAAAGATAGTCTCCGGAATATGCTGTAATCAGCAACTTGGTTGCAGGATGATCTTTATATCCAGGCTCGTGTTGAAACCGCTGAAAGTACATACTCGATGTGGTTCCAGGTCGGTTTGGTGACTGCCGACGATTTTGGCTCACAAACTCCTGTGTAAATAAAATTACCACTTATGCCATGCGTCTGATACTGACGTTTTTATGCCGCCCAAATTTGCATTTGTATGTGACTTTTATGTAAGTTCATGTAGGCTCTTGATCGGTCTAGCTTTAGATATCGTACGCTTAGCAACAGAGACTAAGTTGCATGAACCCAATTTTCGCAACATCTACGACTGGTGTATCGTTGATTCCACCAAAAATGCTGGTAGGTTATTTGTTCTTCATCAAAGTTCACTTTCACTTGACAAGGGTTTCACATTGTAAGTTATTGGGTTATGTGCTATAGACGCTCTGGGATGTTATGCGGACAGAATGACTGGCCCCAGTTTCTCGATGCAACAAGTTTAGTTTCGCTTTAGATGAACTTTAGAATGAACTGCACCCGGTACCAGAGTTCGTTTTGCCACACTGGAAGATATTTCTTCCCAAATCAAGCAGTACTCAAGCAATTATAGGGCCTTACTTGAGGCGCAATCTCAGAGATTGTGCGCATTGTTTCAAGAAATTTTAGAGGACAAACACATTGGTTTCACTTCGCCTGGTACTTATTTGCATCCTCAACAAATGCTTCACTTCACCGTTTGTTTAGGAACAAATGCGCACTCTCCCAGGGATCTTACGGGCGACAGTGATGCAGCAGCAGTTTGCCTACCAAAAGTTTGCCTCCGGGCGCTCAAATGAGCAACCTTCGCCGGGTGGCCACCAAACCACCATAGAACAGAAATGAATCACGGAATGAATGAGGAACATTCATATGTCTTTCACTATATTCCTATCTGCAGAAAGCTTGTCTTTATTTTTAGTCAGCCCTCATCTATTGAACAACCAAATGGTTTTTCGACGTTTTTTGATGAGAACTTCGTTTCTAAGTGTGTGTGAATTTGTTCGTAGACATTCCCTGGTGCCTTTCTTAAAAGGTGGCCCCCTTACAGGAGAGATGCTTTAGCCCTCCAGGTCCAATTTGCTGGTGATTCAGAGGCAGTTTTCATCCAATAAAGATATCTTCCCCTACAATGAGTTTCGACTTTTGAAGAAAAATTTTGCAGTCATGCCGACATCCACTCATATTTTAGTACAATAGAATAACCTTTGAGGGAAGGTAGCTGCCTTCCTGTACAGCCATTCCAAACTCTCAGACAGAGGTGGATAAGTAACCTAAGCAAATGGAGCAATATTTGTGAAAATCGTAGCATCATGTTTGCTGCTTTGTTTTTGTTTTCTCAGGATTCCCATCCGAAACATTTTTGTAAATAAAGAAACTTGAATCGTTTGCCATTCTCTGCTCAGCTGTGTTCTCGGGTCTGTCAATCCTGCAACACGGATACACAAAGGAGAGAAACATCTGAATTTCACAGTAGCTCTCTTATATCTGGCAGCCAAAAGTGCCGTTCTGGTCTAACGACTTTGAAACAATCAATGTGGTGGCTGAAATAGGGAACAAGGTTAGTTGAAGCTTCAACGATTATCAAACAGCTAGCAGTATCCGCTGTCTGAATGACCAAGTTACCGCTGTCTCAGAGACACCATTCCCAATCAGAGCGATCAACCAGTGTGCAAATGTTCATCACTGCTAGAGTGCCATGCAATTAACTGAGCCAAAGATAACACGGGTGATAACCCCAGTTAGTGACAGTTACTTAACACCAGTGGTTTCACTGCACAAGGAAGCACAAAGTAAAGTGTCAGTGTGCAACCATTCAGCCATTTACGTGGTACTAGTTGGCAACCAGCGAACTACACTCATTTGCAAACAAATTGCTTAACACCAGTGGTTTCACTGTACAAGGCAGCACAAAGTAAAGTGTCAGTGTGCAACCGTTCGGCCATTTACGTGGTACTACTTGGTAACTAGCGAACTACACTCATTTACAAACAAATTTGGTCTTCCTGGAAGCCGGCTGAATCTCTCGTTTACGATGTTTCTAAGCAACTAAATGTGCTGCACCAGGCAGCCTCATGTTTCGGTTGGTACGACATTCGAGATATCGGTATAGATGTCTCTCGCAAAACCAAATTTGTTTGTAAGTGAGTGCACTTTGTTAATTTCGTGCAATTCGGGTTCGAATGGTTGACGGAGGCTCGGGCACTATCCCTACCTGATGAGCCCCAGAAAGGGCGGAACCGGTCGTGAGCTGTCAAAGGATTTTCAGCAACCTTATAAGTAGTGCATCAAGTCTATATTCGGTAACTACTTGGTAGCTATGATTTTTCTAGTAGAACATTCTCAGAAAAATTGCAGAGCTGTTGGTTGGAATGTTCATTCACCCGATCGATTTGGTTGCAAACGTTTATTCACCGACGGACAGACATCTTTGCTTCGTTTCTATGTAGCTGATTGGTGTGGCAATGCAGCCGAAGCGTGCTTTGTGGTGGAGTTCACCCAAAGACATGCTTCACTGACAGCAACACCACCAGATAAGAACACTGGTGCTTCACAGCAGTAAAGCCATGTCAATTTATTTGAATAAAGCCGTAAACGGGGACGAAAAATTTGATGGGAAAGAGGAAAGACCTAGCATACAACAAACGTCCCAAGTGACCATAGCTCCAACGCTCAGTTAGAGAATCTAGAGGAAGACTGACAGTATGAGTGTTATTACCTTGGATTAGCGCAATAGTGTTTAGTGTCTCCAAACACAAGCCCAAGTCACAAGAACCCCACCCCGGAAGGCGTGCAGCACTTCATTCACTCCAGTCATATCAATCTTCTTCCACCACTAGGCTTCCATCACTCCGACCTTGTCATGGAAAACAGCTCTATTCTCGGCGGGTGGCAACCAGGCATGCGCACAATCCTCAACTTGTAGTGCTGGGTGCATTCTAGCAGTGAGATACCATCTTATTCACCAGAAAGCCGTCTCCAGAAAACCTCATGCCGAGTTTTCTGGTTACAGCCGACTCGGGCTGTTGTTCCGAGTCATCCGTGTTCACAGACCTAGAAATGTCTCGAATCCCCCCCCCCCCCCGAATTGACCAAGTCTACTAGCTCCAAAACAATGTGGTCCATACTGTAGTCCATACACACGTCCTTGGGGGCCCAGTGATGACACAGATGGCCCGAATTGGCAAACGGAATTCTGTCCTTTTAGATTCGTGCATTTATTTCCTCTGTCACACTACTGTCAGAGCTAATGCAACTTCTGAGATGAGTATAGCGTTCCACAACTTTCAGTATCACTCCTTGAATTCTTATAGGCATGTTCATAGACCATATGTCATGCAGAAGGACTGTACTGTATGGGTCCGAAGCATATTCTGAAGGACTGAGTGACCTCGGTCAGCTTTGTTGTTTTCATTAAGCTTCCTAATCCTATTAGAAGATAGGAGCAACGTCGTCTGCATTTTCCAGTTTAATAAGTTTCTCTCTCAGGGAGATATGAACACCAGTGTTTTGGAGACCTTCCAATGTCCGCCTCGTTACATCATCAGTAACGAAGTTAAACAAAAACGGGTAGAATGGGCACCCTTGTCGGACATTACTGTTTGCAGGAAGGCTTTTGGAGAGTTCCCCACACAATCTGACATATATGCTAATACAAACAGCTTATGATGTTCACGGAATTCTAGGGCATGCACTATTGCGCAAGCTTCTTGAGAACCAACCTGTTGACAGAATCGAAAGCGCTGTTGAAGTCAAGGAACAGGATTGATCTAACACTCACCGCAGTACCCAGTCCATTCGAAGCCGGGATCCTGTTTGTTGTCCTGTTGTCCTGTCTTCACGCAGCTTTTTCAGACGACGCAGAGTAAACAGTACAAAGAGTCTGGTGAAGATAAAGCTCAACCATTTTCCTCTAACTACCCTTTATGAAAGCGGACACATGTATCAAACCATTCCGTCTGTTAGGACGATCTCGTTCGCAAACAATGCAAATAAGTTGGACAAGCGTCGACTTAATATTTCACCACCATCTCTAAAAGGCGGGTTGAAAACTCGTTGGGACTGTCGATGCTTAGGAGACAAAAGGTGGTCGCTTATTTCCAAGTCCACTATCCAGAACTTCGCTGAGACTTTAGAGGAGCGACTGCAAGAGGCCAGGTGAATGGTTGTTGAAAATATTCAACCAAACGATTCTGGCACCCATTTATTTTAGGAACAGACAAGGGTTTATGCTCATTGACTCTTTCTCCAACCATAGGCTTTCTTGAGCCTACTGCGCCTGCCGGCTGAAACGGTTTATGCACACTCACAGTGTTTATCGCCCCCTCCACCTCATCAGCTTTTTGGATTCACCAAGGTTCTCGACCCGTGCAGTGGCTTTTTTCACCCAAAGTTTGGCATTTCGCCGAGTGTTTCTGTACTCGTGACCAGCATGAATACGTCTCCGAGTTTCGGGCATTTAGGAAGTGTTTCTCTTGGATCGGTGCAAAGATCTAGTTCATACATCATTCCACAGGTGGAGCGCCCAACAATTTTGGGTTTTCGGATATTGATTTCTGATCAGAGTCAACACTTGAAGACGCGCTGCCCGGAGAAAAAAGGTTCCAGTAGGTGACCCTGGTAGAGTGGTTTCACATTAGGGTACGGGGGCTTTTTAATGGCTGGTTGAAGTGTGAGCAACCCGTGCGTCCCTAAGGAGTGCAATGAGAAGCCCCAATGAGTAGCTGTCCGACCCAGTTACACACAGATGTTCCAGAACCAGCAATAATTAGTAATTTACCCACGCTACCTATAGATAATGGCGACGCGATTTATCTGTGTTGGAGTTTCTTTCGCATGTTGAGGGCACCAGATGGCCAAGCGGCTTTGATTGTTTCTAAAGGTGGTAATTCAGACAGCCTTTATTCGGTGCGTAATTGTAGCAGGTGTTCACCGTTGTTCGTTATTGCTACTCCAATCCTAGACGAATATTCAGTTGAGCCTAAGAAAGTCCAAGTCCACTTATTTGCGCATTCATATTCCACGCAATGATGACATCGGAACTCTTAGCTCGCTGCTACAAGGCTCGCTCAAGCAAAGAACCATCAGTTCAGTAGCTTGAGACAATGCCAATCCTAGCAGAAGCATCCACAATGGCTTCTGGATCATCACAGGTGCGCGACCGAAGATCAGTGGAAACTTACGAAGAAGTCAGTTCAACAACCGTACTTGGGCTCGTTTCGGAGAAACAGCACGCGTTAAGAGAAAGAGTCCTGCGTGCGTCTAAGAGCCGCCAGTTGTACAGCTTATTTCAGAGTGCGAACGCATTTCAAAAGTGCAAAATCTGTTAACAGAATCATGCATACAGGGCTCTGGAAGTACAAGTTATCAGTGCTTAGCTGATTATCGCTCGCCGTAAGCATTTTATCAGGTTGTCATAGGAAAGCTGTAAACTGGTCAAGATTATTTTCCCCTTGGATCAAGAGACAAATTTCGCTTTCACCCTGTTTTATAACCCGAGGATTTAACCCTAGATTTTCAAAACCCTGTAATAGTGTCACTTGATGGGGTGCGGACATCTATCACTTTTTTCAACCAACTATTCTATGAATATGTAAAAAATCGCTCGTAAGCTTTCATCTCTCCGAAACTCTGGTGAAAAACATTTTACTTGAGTATCTACTGTACCTCCTGATCCTTGAGGACAAGTTCACAGTCACGTCAGAGACATAAAATGCATTAATTTATTCAAACTACAACAGAGCCCTTTTGCAAAATTTGATGCGTAGTGAGTTCCAGCCACAGATCAATGGCTTTGTTTGAGATTTTAATATATTTCCTCAAAAGGAACGCTTCATTTTTACCGGTCCTCCGAGGGGTGCCAAGCTTTACAAGTTTTAAGATCTTTCCTAAATTTATCGTCCCTGATGACATGCCCCAAAATTTACGCGGGAAAATTGAGCCCATTGGGTTATGGAGTCATATTTAGAACTGCTGTGGAATGTTCCTCCAACGTCAGACATCAAAATATATTATTTGGTACCACACAAAACAAGATAAAATTTCTGTAGTTAGCGAGAGTTTCGTCTTGATGTCTTTCCGACCCATCTTTTCGCATCTGCTTTACCGAAACGGCAAGTGATTATAAGTCCTTCAGCTGATTATTTTCTAGCTTCAATCCGGTTCTTCCTTCGCAGGACTTAGAAACCGTTCAACCACTGTGTTGAATGACTTGCCAACCAGATCTCAAATAAAAGCCGGAAGAACCGCAGATGATGGTGGGGTAAGTGGAGACAGAAATAAAAAATGATAGAATGGATCCATATTCGCTTGTCACCGGACCATAGCTTGTTAAATAACTAATTAAAGATTGACAGTGTATGCAGGTCTATGATGCAAAGTATTCCTTCCACGAAACGGGACTATGAAATCCACTGACCGTTATAAGAGACTGTAAACACAATCTGTCCCGTGATTTCAGAGCGCTCTCACAAAGGCGATTTTCAAATTTACAGATGGTTAGATCATTTGCTTAGTATAGACTCGTCTGACTAAAATATTCGGCAAATCGGGTTCCCTCTTGAACCTCCCGTAGATGTGAATCAGTCGAACTAGTGGAGTGTACTGTCTGTCCTTCAAGACGGTAGATTTTTATTTCATGTGGTCCAAAAAGTTTACGTTTTTGTGCAGCAATTGGAGTTAAACTCAGAAGCTCAATTTTTGAATTTTTGACGGTACCTACAGTTCGTCCGAATTTGTCAGCCTGGGAGTTTACTTTGAACATCATTGTAATAGTTTGCTCCATTTTGAGGCTTTCGTCACAGTATTTCTGAAATATTTGGTGCCGGATTTGAGATAATACCCAAGATAATCGAACACTCCAGTCTTGGGGCTTTGCACGTCATCCAAATGAAACTATCCACATGGTGACTGTTGAGCAAGCTGTCGCGTCTGTGATTTTTTACGTTTTTGCTTTAAAAGCGCTAGCTTGGTTTCTTTCTCTTCCATTTAGCTGACTTCTGTTAGCACTCGAAAATAGTTTCGTTAATCGACGCAACTGTTTTCTATTTTAGCTGACCATGTAGAGCAAATCTTCCATTGTTCTTAAACGAATTTCCATTCTGCAGCGATACCATGATACCACTGGTAGGCATGTTAGCCTCATTACCATACTAAATGGTGTGAACGTTTCTGGCTGGTGACATCCAGGTTTTACCCCAGTAAACTTTATTTGCATTCATTCATCTTGGCTTTCAACTTTGTCGGTGTTCCGCTCAGCCTACCTTTGTGGTGGTAATTTTTTTCTAGGTAGCTTTAATACCACATAAATCTGTCTTATCACTTGAAGTGACTTAGTTATTTGTGCGCTCAAAAAACTCTTCGAAATAGTGTAATACCACGGCAGTATTAGTGGTGATGTAGATAACTACACAGCAGAATTTAAATCGTCTGATTCATTTCTGGTCCTGTTCTCTCGTCTGTTGGTAAAGGCCGGCGTTCATGATGATTTTTCTTTGTTTTAGACTCATCACTGATTGAAATGCAAACAACATGACAGATACACTCATTTGCATATCAGTTTGGTTTTCACGGGGGTTCAAGTGAATCTCTTGGGAACTGCACCTACCTGATGAGCTCCAAGAAGGGTGAAACCGGTCGTGCGTTATTGAAGAGTTTTTAACAGATTTGTGAGTAGTTTCCTCTATGAAAGTGACTGGAATTCCTTTCTAAAAAGCTAAAGCCACAAACGCTTGCCAATTCCTGAAGTTACATTGAAAACCATATCTTCTCGGAATACATCCACTAACTTGGACCGCTATTCTAGTGTTAGACTGAGTAAAGCACAACAGGTTAAGACAAAACTGGTCGAAAATCAAGAACAAAGAATAATGATACGATGGTGGCAGCATGACTGACTGTAAATTAAACGTTTATGTTCTTGATGGATTGTTCAGTCCCCACTCACCCTCTAAAAAATATCCAATGACGAAGTCTTGCTTGATAATTCCTACTCACAGACAGCGAAAGTAGCAACTTCTCCCGTGTTCCATCCTGGAAAACTACCCATTTGCTCTCAATATGCATATTCACTGTCCCTCCAATATGTCGCTTCAGGCCGTTGTACTTTCGCACTCGCACGCACTCACACCCTCGCACTCACGCTCCCGAACTCGCTTGTTCGGAATATAGCTGTTGTGTTCCCTGCTGTGAATCTTTTCTCCGGCACTAGGCACTGGAGCGGGGTCGACGGTCAGCTACATGTGGCATAAAACCATACGACAGCCCCCCGGTGGAGACTGTTGTGACCCTTAGTTTCACCATGGGAGTATTCGAATTCACATCAGACGCTAGAGGCACAGACACGCCAAAGAACTAAATGAAACCCCACCAACTAGGGTTATAGGAACCTCAGTGTCCCCGTTCAGGCTACCATCCGCGGAGGACAATATAATAGGAAAATGATTTGCACTTTTCTAAACAACTGTCCGACTTTGATTCTATTTTGACAGGTTCTATAAGAAGCGACAAGGGACTCCAGTCTCAAAGTTATCAGCAGTTCATCAATACTTCTGCATCTGACTTCCTGAACTCCAAACATAGCTTTAACATAGGCTGACAGTTTCCTTGTGCCTCGAAAAAATTTCTTCCTGGCTAAGGCATATATCTTTCCTCTGGAAACATAGAACATCATCTGAATAAATCACGGAACGGTTTTTCGAAAATGTATCGATTTTTATGCAAGTTCCTGAGTTGGTTGTCCTCATCAACACAGAACCTGGCATTTTATTCTGATTGGCTTGTTCCTTCAGTGTATCAGGCACAGGCATAGTTCACGGAGCAGATTTTTGACTGCCTGTCTGACGTAACACACTACGTAAGAGATTACTGAAAACGCTTCGGCAGCACACTGCCTGTTTCATCCTTTTGGGACTCATCGGGCATTCGTTTGCACAATGCGAAATTCCTTATCAATACCCGTTTCTACTTGGGCACCAAGCTTACGTTAGACGAATATACACTGAACTGCAAATTTACTTTTTTTCAACAGGAAACTCAGCAGAAAGCAAAACTTAGTCCCTCGCTCTAATGAGCTTCCACTACGTATACTGTATAAAGGCCATCCCATGTCTTCTCAGAATACTATTCGATATACAGGAGAGCATAGTTTGACACAACAACAAGTTAGGTTGTAAATTATCGTACAAATTCACTTAAAAAAATTGAGTGTTCTATTAAAAAACGTGGTCGTTAGAATCTCATGTAAACGCTTACCTGATTACATTCAAGGACTAATGCGGTAATAATGGTGTTGTGTAACAAAAAGTACTTCGATATCTTAAACTACACCTCGTGTGAGGTTGCCTTTCCACAGAACATTCGTTTGGAGATAATTGCAAATGACAGGTGGCGCCAACATTACAATGAGTCTGCTTTGTTTGCTAGGCGGTGTTTTCATACCGCAGAATAGCCAATCAGATCAGACACTTAGTGAATGAGATTGTCCTGATTCATAAGCACGAAAATGCTGTATCCAGAATTCATGGATCGATGAAAGACAAGGAACTCGACCATCAGCAATACCACCACAAATCTATTGGTAATGAACCCACAATTAGTACGGGAATGCATTCATTTTATATGGAGGTTTTGTTCCGTAAGTGCAACCAATCTCTACTGAAGAGTCTATAAGCATTGCACAACTGTCTCATCCTTATTAAGGAAAACTAGGATTGCGCTTCTCACGAAACTCTAGGGGGTTTTGAACCGATGACATCCCGGCTAGTAGTTTTAAACCATTCGAACCGAACTTCGGTGTGATTAGGTCTCAATTAGAGTATAGCGTCACTCTTTCTTCAACCGTGAGATCACCTGGTGACATGTATTGACTGGCTCCTCTAGTGGCGACCTCTCCCACGGAGGTTCCACTCATTGGCTGAATTTTTTATTCTTCCACTGAGCCACTTACAGACTGTTGCTAACGTGAGTATAGGCTCCACTTACAGGACGAAATCTGCGTCAGCAATTCTTAAATCTCCTCACAACGTCGATAACAATTACTTTATGCTTAGTTTCATCAAATAAAACTTGTTTCTTGGCATAATGAAGATTTAGTATAGCAGTATCGTAGTGTCTCTTTTGGAATAGTTCATCGTGCTGAACTCATATCGAATAAGTTTAACTGGTCCCAACGGCCCCATACATCCCCAATAATTATCCTAGCCTTATGATAATGTACATTTTACGACCATTCGAAATTAACCTACTCCAATGAAGTACGCTCAGCCATCCACATGACCAAGTACACTCCCATCCAGTACTATTTTCTCGGTTCCTATCGTGTCTGATTGGATACGAATATGAGTGCTGTCTCTGCTCAATGTGTAGAAATGACATTCCCTGTTTCCTGTTGTTGAGGTTCCCGATACGGGACTTTGAGTGACGCGTAGGTTCGACAATCCTGAATATCAAAAGGAAGAATTGGGTTCGTAATTCTACGGTACTATTTACCACAAGTTTAGCAGATGTGTACAACAAACCTCAGTTGTTCACATTCGTATCGTCAACAACCTCACAGGTCTGTCGCTGACCGGCACAATGCAGTGTCAACGTCCGCACACCAAGCAACGGCGAGCAGAATGATGGCTCAGTAGAGTGCGTTGCGGTCGACCCTTACGACAGCAGTCTCGTGATTCTCATTGGACGTGTGATCACGCGGAACCCATGAGAAAACAAGTCAAGGTAGGCTCAGCAAACGCGACATGAACACACATGAGTAATTGGGTCAGCAGCGCAGATTCACACACAGACACGCCTGTCAATGCCCAAGTATCGGACCAGACGGCCTCTTCGGCAAGGTGATTGCCGGGTACGGATAAGTAAAACAACTGGAGATCAAAAGTACATAAGCGGACTAAGCAAATGAATGGGGGAATTATCATAAGGTCAAGTTAGATTTAACACTGGTAGGATAACATTCGTTGCTGCTCCCTAGTTAGCATTGCTTATGAATACTTCAATGAGCTTGTTGGTGCTGTTCAAGCTGGGACGCAATAGAATCACAAAACGTGTGACTTCACGGCCAAGGTGTAACCCCTGTTAAAGTGAAAATTGCCGACGAGACGAAGCTAATTTCCGTAAGGCACGACGAATAAATGTGGCCCTCAGGCGATTAAGAAGCCAGGAGTTTAGTTCTGTGTGAACTATTCACGTTCACTTTGGCCACCAGAATATGAGAGGAATAGCACTTTGAAGAATGGTCACAATAGTGGCAAAAAAAACAATGAAAGAACCAAGGGACCAACGAGCCTTTTTCTGGATACTAAGTGCATTAAAATGGTCGCAGAAAGCGAACAATTTGGGACCGCTCACCATCACCTGATTCGACACTATGTAGACAAAATTCCAATTTGTAATCAGCCTGTTCACAGCACAACAAGAATAATAGGAGTGTGGACTGTATAACTCTCCGGAACGCCGTATAAAAACCAATCAGATTTTCCCTTCAATAACATTTCTTAAAAGCTAAACAGTAAAGCTGTGCAAAAACATCTCATGAACTAAATGCCCAAGTATTTCTAGAGACCTTCCTGATCATAATTCAACTAAAATTCTTCGTGTAAAAATAATGAAAAGACAATGGCAAGTTGACACTTGCCGCTGAGTTGTATATTGCAAAAAATAGTGACGAAACTTCTGGAACAGTGTGCTCTGAAGACAATGGAAATACAGCGATCCAGTCAACAGAAAACGTATAAACTACCCTATGCATTTCTAATCACACCGCGAAACAATTCCTTATCTCCATGGGGCCCATTCCATCGTCTTACAGTGTGCTTCATGTGTTTCCCGAGCACTGAGTTTATTCCAAAACACACGCAGGAAGTGTGACGAAACAGAATCTCCAAGGCTAGTACGGCAATGTTGAACAACGTCGGTTATCAAGGCAGCCAAAGCGGTTCAAAATCGAACTACTAAGGCTCGAAACTATTCAGCTCCACCGGAAGCCGAATCCCAGGGGGCGTGGTGGCTCTGCGGTGACTGCACCGTGTTGTTCTTGGTATCTGTAATTGTTCGACGTCTTCTGCTTGGTATGTTCCAGGAGTTAGTTGGCGCTCAGATGTGATCGGCGTGTTTGGACTTGTGTTAACCCTCTATGCGTATATGCGTGATCGTGTGTGCATTTTGGACGGGAAGTATATCCGTTTGTGATTGTGCTTGCTGTGATGCGTCTTTTTTGAGATTTCTGCTTGACATCAGGTCATTTTGCTTACCAGGGTGTGCACTAAGCCCAAGACAGAGCCTCCATCACTACGGTTGACACAGTTTGGTCGTTTAGATCTCTACTGCTTAAGCGCATACCCATTCCATGTGAGGCTTGAATCCTGTCGCCGAAGTTGATTCCATGGTCTGACTCAAGTTCGTGACCTAGTTGATTGAATTTCGTGGAGGAAAACGCGCATCTCGTTTGTGCCCCCTGATTCGCACGTGGAGTTGTCTGGTCTATGTATTAGGCCGGATGGAATTCGGTAGACTCAGTTTGTGTGGCTTGGGCTTGAACGCCTTGGTAGGCATAGTGGCCAGAACTCAAGCAGAACTTCGAGAAATGGCGAATCACAGCCAACATAATCACAGACGGAAGCACATCCAATTCAAAGTACACAAAACAACGCGTACACGCAAACAGAGCTTACATACTTCCACACACGTAGATCGCATCTTACTGCTAGCTGACCTCCGGAGCGGGGCGAGATGGCCCAAGCGGTTAGAGCGTGAATTTACTGACCGGAAAGCCGTGGTTCGGCCCTCTGCCCGTCGCCATCCCCAGTCTAGGCTTGGGCAACCTGGCAGTATCCCAGCCCTCGTGCCTCCTTCGTGTGGCACGGCAGCTAGGCACCAAAAGGGTGCTACAGCTGAATTTTTTTTGACCTCCGGAGCACACCAGTCAGAGACATGAGAGCGGACTAAAACTCTGCGCTTGAATCGCATCCCGTTGAGTATGGAAATCACTGAAAATGTTTGACCACAGCAACCGAAACGTGGGGTCCTAACATCTAGTTCCATTATGCTGTATTGACTTTATACTTTCCATATGATGCTAACCGATTCGAGACAAAAACGATTCCAATGAGTTGACTGTTAGCTCTCATATGGAAAAGAGAACAAACGGGGTGGGTTGAATTTACTATGCGTTGTACTGCAGTTACTAGGTCAGAGTAGCGTTCGTACTGCTGAACTTTAAAATAAAATTAATGTGATTTCGCAAGAAGAAGTAGCCTTCCAGAGAACCCTAACTTCCGAGTGGTTAGGCAGAGTTATTCTGGGTTTCTTTATGTATTACTGCAGGCAGTACTTGGTCAAACATTAGAGCAGTCTGATAGCAATGTACATTCGGTCGTTTCTCACGTAATCTGTGGCAGTCCCACCACAATCACTCAGCATTGATCGTGGAACAAAGTCGTGAAATCCCCAAGCTGATACCTCCGTTGTTTTGGCCCCCTGAACTTTTACTTCCTTCACTGCCAAAGGTCGCTCCCAGACTCCTTTCTCGTCTTCATCTTCAGGAAAGGGTTTTAGTGTTCTTGTGATATTTCGTCCCGAGACTGACTGATCAATCAGAACAAACTGCATGTGATCTCGAAAAGGCCACACAAGCTGCTCATCAAACTCTCCAGCTACGAGTTGCACAAAAATACCCACAAATCGTTTAGTGAATTCCAATTTTGTTCGAAATCTGTATCCAGGCGTCCCTAGATAGAATGAATCGCTCCAATAACTGCATCCTTCTGCTTCTACCACCGGATAATCAGGAATCGTCCATATATAGAGCATACACTTTGAAGCCGCTTGTTTTCTCTCTGTTGTGCCCTTATTGTTCACGTCATCAGAGCCCTGTTGTCGGAGATCTAACATGCCGAAGTTTAAAGCATCTGTATTGACACAGTCGTCCATTTTGTTCGGAGAACAAGGATCAGGAAATTGAAATTTCCGACTGTTTATTTCAACGCGATCATCTGATGTGCACGTCTTGGCAGAAGGTTCCACTGATATATGCACCGGGGTCGAGGAGCAAAGTGTGGGCGCTTTTACTTTCTCATAGCGTGAACTAAAAGGCTCAGCATTCAGCCTGAATGCCAGTTGTTGTGAAAGCGGATTGGTCGCATTGGGACCTGGTGACAAGTATTTGTCTGCGGTGCCCAGAAGATGAATACACTGTCGGCATTGTTGTACGGTTTTGGCACAGTGAACGGACGTCAATTCTTTGGCCATTGTACACAAGTGTTTAGTCAAACAACATGTGCAAAATTTGGAGACTAACTCAAGCAGTCTGCTAGTACACCCACACCTGTAGTCATCTGCAGCAAAACGATTGGTTGCCAGATCCATAAAACAAACTGGGGTCTGTTCAGTTTTACTGGGTAAACCTGAATCCTCCGTTGAACAGTGTTTGTCCTTTTCGTCCCATACGGGCTGATTAAGCAGCGTGTGGAGTTTAACCAAATCATTACATAAATCAAGTTGCTTTTGAGTCATTCTCCGAAGAATTTCATTCTCACCCCTGATTTGACTGAGCTTCTCACATAGGCATTCTTTGAACGCCTTTCTCTCTTCCCCATTGCTTGTTGCTTGTGGTTGTTCATAGGCCGACTCCATAGGTCACATTGTTTTCTGGTATAAATGACCATAGTACAGTGTGGGACAGCATGTAACTTAAACTCAGGTCACGTGATAACGTCTAAGCTTGTTAGTCGATTAGACCACATGATCACATGACTGACACTCAAAAACTTTCAGCTATTCGATCAGACTATGAAAGGCTGCCAACTTCAAAAAGATTTGCAAGGAAATTTATCAATGTATAAGCGGTCCCTCATATCGAAACAACAGATGTAGACGCCAAATTCGGAAGTCATTTTCAGCGGACGAATTGTCCATTGGTTTACCAGGAACCATTATGGAGAGTGGAACGGCGCCCACGGGTGAAACACATTGCTTTTATCGAATATACAGTCATTTGCAAACTAATTTGGTTTTTTCGAGAGACTCACCTGGAACCCAGCTGATACTCTCGTTTGTGATGTTCTCAGGCAACTGAATGTGCTGCACCAGGCTGCCTCATGTTACGGTCGCTACGATATTCGAGATATCGCAGTACATTTCTAATGTACTACTCATAAGGTTGCTGAAAATCCGTCGACAGCCCACTACCGGTTTCGCCCTTTTTGGGGCTCATCAGGTAGGCGCAGTCCCCGGTCGTGGGCTGTCAAAGGATTTTCAGTAACCTTGTGAGTAAAACATTACAAATATATAGATTGTTTTTTACCTATCCGTACACGAAACCAAAGTGATACTAACTGAGCCTATAAGCTGAGGCCACTCAAACCAAACACACTGTTGTGGAGTCAATTTATCCAGAAAGATCACTCTTCCTCGGCTTTTGTAAGCCACAGTGCAGCACGTTCTAACAGGAAAACAAAAACTGAGCTGTGATGTTAAGAAGCGGGGTAAATAAATAAATAAATAAATAAATGGTTAGATGACCGAGCAAACGAGGGGGCAGAATTGGTCTAATAATTGGTCTAATAGTTTAACCATTCCTCTCGTTGTTTGCTTGTTTAGTCAACAGCTTAATGGTTTGTTCATTATTTGCTTATTAGTTAGTAAACTCATCCGTCCCGTCAACAAGTCTGTAATGAAATGAATGACCGACGGGCAGTTGTAACGCAAAATTCATCTTGATAAAAAAGCACTTCGAAGCCATCGGTTGCTCAGATGCGTAACTATAGTTTACCAGATAGTTCAATGAGTAAGTCCAGAGACAGCTATCAGGAATTCTCCTTGGTAATCAGGTGACCTTGTATTAGCTCAGTCAGAGTGGCACTCAGAGTGTAAACGTTTTATCAAGGAGGCATCGATCCCGCAACGCTAGCAAGCTGGCTACCGATCTAAACGAACAAATCAACAGGCATAAGATCAACTACTAATAAACTTAACCGAGCAAACAATAGTTGAAATTGTCTAGGGCCGTTTTGAAAATTCGCACAGGTTTTTGTGAAGGATTCAAGAAGCATTTCGTCTAGATTTGTCAAAAAGTGTCCTTTTATAAGGACGGCCAGTAAAATGCAAATCCAGTTCATTTAGACAAACCTCCTGACATGTCTAACTAAAAAAATTCCCCCTCAATCCTTCCTGTGAGCATATTTCATCTCATCTGAAGCAGATGCCTGAGTTCATCTCCGAGATTTCGAGGTAAATTATATCAGAATCTTGCAGAACTTTTGAGACTCTGTGGAAAAGAATTTTGATTGTGTTCCTATTTTAAGGGCTACCGATTCGGCTTAGTGAAACTGTACTAATCTCATGTGTGTAAGGTGACTACGTAAGTTCGCAAAGCCAAATTCAATAAGGACATATACATTTGCTTCGAGACGAACATATGTTGACTTGTAGGAACTTGAAAACTTAACAGATGCTCCGAGACAAGCCTCGAAAAACACTCGGGAAAGGTGGAAGTAACGAACAATATTTGGCTGTTAAGCATGTGCATGAAATATCCCAGATGTAGGTAAAACAGGAAACTGTAATTCCCAGTTGTTTCCACGCCGCCCATGACGATCGAGAACAGGAAGGTTAGGGATGGCTTTCTAAAATCTTAAAAATAATAATTAAATCGACAAGCTACTTCACACCTAACGTTACGTACCAATTCACTCTCATTAGCTACACAGCCAGACATATCGTTGTGCAAACAGCAAGGCAAGTTGAAGAGCACACGGTTCCGTAATTCGCATTGCTTGTCCTTCCTACTTCGTGTAGCGAGCGAGATCACAAGTCTGACGTCATGACGCAACAGCTGATGTGGAATACTACCATTACATTGGCATGAGTATTGCCTGCATGATGATCGTGATGCTGCTGAGGAACCAGCGTTTTGTGAATCATCATATGTAGGCGTTTGCGTCCCCCATACACTCGGGTATGAAAACATGAACGCATGCACCCAGGCATAAACCAGCACACATGGTCGTTCAGGTCGACTGTCGTTCACGTATGAACTTGATTGTTAGTCAACCATAGTTAAATAGAGGTTGAAGAGATCTCCCCTGTTATACGGAGTTTCGGCTGTGGATTGAGTGGAATGAACCGTTATGCGAACCCGATCGTTTTGGAAGTCTACAAACCAGCCCATTAAGTAAGCCGTTGCTTACCGTCAGTCCATGAGATGCAGGCCACCGAACAGCAACAGGTCCGTACGATGTGACTCCGGACAACTCTGGTACCTGTCACTTTGTTGAGCCCGGAGTAGACATTTGCCTTAATGATCATTCTGCAGGACACTATGTTCCACTGACCTTTAGTAGAGTAGTAGCAGCAGAAAGGTTTGCACCTGACGCCAATATGCAAGGAGAGCACAACAATGCTTTACTCAGCTCTGTGTGTTCCAGATATTGAATAAGGAGTAGTAAGGTCCCACGTAATCGCAATGAATTGGTATCGCTATTTTGGATATTGCTGAAAAGAGACTCCACCTTGAGGAATAGGCGTGCCTTAAAAGAACCCTCGTCTTGTAGCCTAAATATGTTTAGCGCAGCTACAACGCTGCCGATCGGCTGTGAATGCCGGCTCCCAAAAAAACACGTGGTGCATCATCCCCTAGCAAAGCCGGACATTTCACTGGAAAGTGTGATTTAGTCACTATTGGTAACATATCTAATGATTTTCCAGGCTAAAATAGAATGCTTTTTTCTGCCGTTAGGATGTAACTCGCCTTGATAAAGTGATTCAGTAAAGCTTTCACTCAGCTTTCAAGCATCCTGAACCATCCTGTTAGCCATTCCTGACAACCTCCTTGAATTCTTTTGGTCATTCACAAACATACTCAAATCCATCAAACATCCACCATCGTGAAGCAGTGGTGCAAATGCGATACAATATATGTCGTTTAAGTCAAAATGGGTACTACCACATACTAACCTGTGCATCGGTTCTCCTAATAATCATCACATGCTTTTCTGTTGATTCATCGAGAATATCGTTACTACTCGGTTTATAACGATAGCAACCTTATTCAAAAGAGATTTTCCGGGGATCAAAAACCTGGAATCCATGGGCCTTATGAAGATCACTGGTATGGTGGATGGAATTAGGAAGCGAACAAAACTAGAGGTTGAAGGATGCCCGTTTTGCGCGAATGATGTAATCTGACCGCATTTCCAAACTCTAACTATGATGAGAAAACCACGGAACAGATGATGCAGGAAAACAAGCGTAGTTTTCCTTCTAAAATATAATCTGTTTCTGGAGTTCTAAAGGATGTGTGGGTAGTAAAAGCCCAGGAGAACAGTAGTGGATGGGTTTACGGGTCACCAGGTGGTTAGAATGTTTGATATAAAGCAGCGATTTCGGGTACAATTGTTCTATTTTCTAACAGGTAGCTTTCCAGCACTAAATTTGTCCAACGCAACAGCACCGATTTTAAAACACTTGCTAACCGGAGCACTACGCTGATGAACGATCCCCGGAGAACTCTGGTATGATTATTGAATCACACTAAGTTTATAGTAGGTTTATATGCATATGACATAACAGCACAATGAACTTACAGTGTGACACGGTGCTATATTGAAGGACACAAGCTATCGATGGGTGTGATGCTGGCAACAGTTATCATGTTATGATATTCGGATTTACTTTCCACGTGCTACAGAATCTCACACGTGACAAGCATCCCTTCCACGAGGATTTGGCTGGAATCTAGGTTGACGAGAAATAACCAGATATCCAACACCGTCGACGAGGTATTACTCTCTATACCTCCCGGGCTGAGTGAGGAAAATTAGTTAGAACGTCACCATGAAGAACATATTGTTCGCCTCACTCCGTAGGTATGCGGCTACACTTCTTCTGGTTGAGAATCTTCTCACCTCACTCCGTAGGTAGGTATGCCGCTACACTTCTTCTGGTTGAGAATCTTCTCAGATCGCTACCTCTTACAGACTGGATATGTTTGACAGATAGATAGATAGATAGATAGATAGATAAACAGTGTGATTGGCTGAATGAACATATGATTGAATGAACATTCGCATTGTCTTGTACTCAGAAGCATGTTCATCTTACGATTACATAGTTTTGACGCCCTGCTTAAACACACAAGGATGAATGTCTACCGCGTGTTGCACGAGGTTGCACGAACTTAGACTCATGTCACCTTTAATCACAAAGTCATATGTAGGCTTATTCAAGTGGTCCGTTTCTAGGTCATTCGCACGTTTCTACGACGAGTACAATTAAGAAGTTGCAGCTGTCGGCGGTTGTTGTGGCAAGCTGAGGTCTCATCTTTTGAACACCAAGTATCGTTTCGCTCACTACATCTATTATTTTATGCCTCTATGAAATTTTCATGGAACCTCTTGCTAGCACCTTCAAATGTACAAGATAGTATAACCAAGCGGAATGAATGGACTTGGTAGGAAAATTCAGACCCTCGAACGATTCACGAAGACGTTACCTTTGGCCGATAAGAAGATGAGACCCTAGCGCGACACTATTTTTCCAAGTCTGCTGTGATTCTCCCTCTCTAAAAATTACTTGGTATACAGAACAGATTTCGAATGGTTTGACAGAACTGTGCGTAATTAGGATCTGCAGCC